GTTTTTTTTTTTTTTTTTTTTTATTTATACTTTCACTAGACTTTCATTAACATATAATTTTTTGTTTAGTTAACGTTTAACCTTTTATTTTTAGCCCAAAAAACATTTGTTTTGGTCTGTTATGTTCTCAGTTGTCATGCAAAGCTCCCGGGATAGAAAAAGCACACGAGACGACACTAGAAATCTTCGAAATATTGGCTAATTATCCATGGGAAGCCAAGGCAGCTCTCACATTGATAGCCTTTGCAGCCGATTATGGAGACTTATGGCATCTCCATCATTACTCCCATGCTGATCCATTGGCTAAATCATTGGCCATTATCAAGCGAGTAGCTACCTTGAAGAAGCACTTAGACTCACTTCGATACCGACAAGTGCTTCTCAATCCCAAGAGCCTTATTCAAAGCTGTTTGCAAGCAATCAAATATATGGATGAGATACGAGAATTCTCCAAATATGATGTCAAGGAACTTTCTGAGTTACCCGCTGCTCTTCGTCAGATCCCATTGGTTACTTATTGGGTTATACACACTATTGTCGCTTCTAGAATTGAGCTCTCCAGCTATCTGAGCGAAACCGAGTAAGTAATCATTTATTTTAACTTAAACTTGCTTCAAACGGGACGAAAAATCCACGTTTAAGTTGGAAATAAGGGAGGGAGTGGAAAGAGATTTCTCCACAACAGGGATAGGAGATAGGGATTATATTCCCTGTTCTCGACCCCGACCCTGTCCAATTCCAATCCCACCTCGCCTCATGAAAACAAATGAGGAAATTCGTGAGGATGAGAATTAAAACAAGAGGCAAGATGGATTTCTCTGTCTCACTCCGTGACATCTCTTCAAATAGTTGTGATCAATCGTTTCTTAATTCATTAATTTTTTTTTTTTTTTAGGAATCAGCCACAGAGATATTTGAATGATTTGTCTGAAAAAATGGCTAGGGTACTCGACGTACTCGAAAAGCATCTCGAAATATTACGAGAACAACATGGTTGAATTCTTTTATCTTATTATTATTTTGATTGTTCATATTGTATTGGAAGTGAGCTAAAATAATAACATTATATTGCGCTGTGTTTGATGCAGAGGAGGTTGATCTCTACCGGTGGCTGGTTGACCATATTGAGCATTATCGTACCGACATTACATTGGTTGTTCCAAAGCTTCTTAGCGGCAAAACAGAAACCAAGCCACTTATTGATGGCTCTACCCTAAGAGAGGTCCTTTCTACATCATAACATATTGCATTTGTTCTAGGCCAAATAGAAATAGGCATTGTCATAATAATATGATAGTAAATTATTAAGAATGAGAAATAGAATTGGAAAGATGTGTATTCTAATGTTTAAATAGGATACATGCTAGAAACTAATGGTACAAATGAAGAAAATATAAAATAATTAAATATTGAGAATAAAATAAAATATATTGTAAATCAAATCATAAAGAAAAGAATATTAAGATATAATATCGTTCGAAGATATATTCCATAAATATATTCTCCAAATATTATATCTGAACATAAATATATGTTTTTACAGGTTGGTGTTTATGAAAGTTTGTCGGGAAAGAACGTGATATTGGTCATTTCTGGGTTGGATATCTCCGAAGATGATATCAAAGCTATTCATAATGTTTACGATGAATTGAAAAGTAGAGGCACTAATTATGAGATAGTTTGGATTCCAATTATCCTGGAGTCTAATCATGAAGATGATCACAAGAAATATGAGTATCTGCGTTCTAGAATGAAGTGGTACTCAATCCAGTTTACTACAAAAATATCGGGCATGAGATACCTTGAGGAGAAGTGGCAACTTAGAGAAGATCCATTAGTTGTGGTACTCAGCCCACAGTCCGAAGTGGTGTTCATGAATGCAATTCACCTAATTCGAGTTTGGGGAACTGAAGCAATCGATTTTAAGGAAGATAGAGCCAAGTTTTTATTGAGAAAAAATTGGCCCGATTCAACTCTTGTCAAGTTCACTCACCAACCAAGATTGCAAAGTTGGGTATGTATAAATTTCATTTATTTGTTTCTATTTTCTATCTTTTGTATTGATATATACTCTTTCCAAATAGATCAAGCAAGAGAAAAGCATCTTATTCTATGGTGGCAAAGAACCAATGTGGATCCAACAATTTGAAGAGAGGGTAGAAATTTTGAAGAGTGATCCGTTGATAAGGGACGGTGGTTCGTTTGAGATCGTACGCATAGGAAAGAATGCAAAAGGAGAGGATGATCCTGCACTCATGGCTCGTTTTTGGAAAATACAATGGGGCTATTTTATAGTCAAAAGTCAGTTGATTGGTTCAAGTGCGAGCGAGACAACCGAAGACATTCTCAGGTTGATTTCTTACCAAAATGAAGATGGTTGGGTTGTTCTTTCTGTAGGGTCTGCGCCTGTGTTAGTTGGCCGTGGGATATTGATTTTGAAGTTGCTTGAGGAATTCCCAAAATGGAAGCAGAGTTTGCGCCTAAAGGCTTTCCCAGATGCTTTTAGAGATTACTTTAATGAGCTGGCTCTCAAGAGTCACCAATGTGATCGAGTAATTCTTCCAGGGTTTAGTGGATATATTCCTATGATTGTTAATTGTCCTGAGTGTCCTCGTTTCATGGAGACTGGTATTAGCTTCAAGTGCTGCCACGGAGGTGCTCATATGTGAAGATGATCGACTCGACCTGATGCTAGAAGTCATATCCATACCTTTTCTTATAATACACCATTACTACTATTACTATGAATGATACCATTTGGTCCTTCATATGGATCTATACAACTTTATATTAAAATCGAGTCCATTAGGTCTCGTTGTTGTCCTGAATCAGCTTTTGTATGAATTATATTATTTAAGATAAATAATCATCTGGTCTTTATTTAAATTCGACTTGAAATACATCGTTTTGTTGTCTATACTTTAAATTCTTAAAGACAAAACAAAAATTATTATAATTATCTATCATATTTTCTTTTTTTCATTTTGTATCTATTTTTTTTTTTTTAAAGAAATGATAATGTAATAAAAGCATTAAAGCCAACGAGCATAGCTTGACAATTGACATATAGCTTTTTTAAAAACAAAAATTCAAAAATTCAGAACTCACATTTTATTACAATAAATAATTGAAAAAACACATATATAAAAGAATAAAATCTCTCTTTGAAAGAAAAAATATATAAAAATATAACAAAAATATAGACACACTACAACATTATTTTTTTTTTTTTTTTTTTTTTTA